GGACTAACACTGCCACTGCATGCTTGCATAATATTCCTCAATATTCAAACAAGCAACAATTGCATTTCACTTCAAAATCTTTTTTCATTGAACCAAACATTGAAATTTACACTTTTTCTTTTCTCCTCAATCATGATATCTTCAGATACGTCGTATTCAAAAATCAAACCTTCCACTTTGACCGAAGTCAAATCACAATACATCTTCCTTGTCAATTCGCTTTAGAACTCCTTAAATTTTGAGATAGTGTAAACTCTTTGAACTTGTTTCTCCATGTCATAATGGGTTACACAAGGGACTTGTAAAGATAAAGCCTCACATTCTTCCTGGTCTTACATTCTTCCTGGTTCTCATTTTTCACCTTACTTTTTAATGCATTTTCATATTGTTCAACAAATTGTTTCAAGGTAGTCTTAGAGTTGACATAGCCATCAAAGAATGAGTTCATACTCTCACTTCGTTGTGTGGTAGACATTCTTGCCCAAAAAATATTTTTCACAAAGATCGGCACCCAACGATGCCTCTAATTGTATAACCCACTCAACCAATCATTATTATATAGCATGTACTTTTCAATCATTCAATTCCAACTTTCTTCAAATGCAGTACAACTTAATGAATCATAAACGGCCCTTTGCAATAAATATTTGATGGATTCATACTGCATACTGCTCATAACCTCTCAACTTTTCAAAAAATTTCTTCAATATGTGTCATAAGCACCATTGATGTTTAGTATTAGGAAAAACAATCTCAACTGTTTTTTGCATGGCTTTGTCTTGATCGGTAATTATGGCATGTGGAGCTTTCCAAGACATACATGCAAGCCACGATTGAAACAACCAAGTAGATGTTTCTATGTCTTCATTGGAGATCAAACCACATCCAAGCAAAGTCGATTGTTCGCGATGATTAACCCCTACAAATGAAGCAAATGACATGTTGTACTTATTTGTCAAATATGTAGTATCAAATGTAATAACATTACCAAATTCTTGATATGTTGTTCTACTCCTTGCATCAGCCCAAAACACATTCCTTAATCGACCTTCATCATCCAAATCTATTGTATAAAGGAATTTGCATTTTCAACTTGCATATTTACGAAACACTTTTGTATTGCAGAGGCATCTCTTTCCCTGAGCCGTAACAGCCTTATTTTCTCAATATAGTTTATACAATCCTTCTCTAAAAACGAGATATTTTCATGCCCCCTAGCTTCAACTACAAACGAGGTGAAAAAATTATTTAGTCTAATTACCACTCGACCGTTCAATTAAAGCTTTATTTTCACATATGGTCTCATCACTCGATTGCATCAAAAAAATTGAGCTTTGCATGTGCTCAACTAATGGTTATGATCAAGCATGACATTGTTCAGTCGCCATTTTTCATCTGCACACAAAATAGCTAGGACCTTAGCCTTACAACCTACTTTTATGCTTGGATGCGGCTTCAATGAATTTTTGGAAGTGGACTTTGACTTACCTGATCGAGAACAAACAATAGTCACGTATTTCAACTCACCATCATCCCCTTTTGTTGATAATCTTATCTTCACTAGGAATCATAACCGTTTACCATAACCCGTATAATACTCAAGCAACTGTTTATAACTTTCGAACATCATCCTAACCTTAGGCTCGTCTACATCGATTACATTCATCATTTCAATCACAACATTTTTTTCTCTCAATTGCAAACTTCTTGAAGATTCACATTCCATTGTAATAAAATTTTACTGCAACACGTGCTTTGTTGATTAACTAGAATTTTGTCTAACGCAAAATATGCCTGAACACCATAACAAAATAAATTTATTTATGCTCCAAAATAACCAGCAAAAGAAAATGAATTTTTTTTGTGTTAGACAAATCTATAAATCAAACCTTTGTTTGTGTATATATATATATATATATATATATATATAAATTAAAATAAATAACTAGAAATATAACAATCGAAAACAAATTGAATCAACCTCCAATTACTACCTAGAAAATAAATAAAATGAAATCCACGTACTGTAGAGCCAACTATGGTGGAGTCAATTTCGACAGATGTTCGGGACAATGTGTACTTCGGCGAAGAGATGAAAAGGGAAGAGGGAAGAGAACGACTATGACTTCGGCGAAGAAATGTAGCCAACAGAACCAACGTGTAATTCAGTGAAGAAGCTCGTCGTTGAAGAAGGGAAGAAAACTGACGAATATGAAGACGAGGAGGAAGAACACTGGCGTTGATGGTTTACTGCTTGTGGCTAGTGTTAATTTCAGGTGGGTTTTTTCGATGAAGAATATTGTGTCAAGAGGAGGAGAAATTTTAGGGATTTGGGGAAGGAGGTGTACTGGTTCGGGGAGAGAGAATGTGAAAAGAGGGCTAAGTTGTTGATATTAAGTTTTTTTTTTTTTTAAGAAATTAGGTGGCTTAAATTGCTGAGTTGGTAAGGACACCTTAGTTGCCACATCATTAGGTCACTTATTTAGGTCCAAAAATTAGGTCCCAAAAATATTATCCTATAAATAATTATATGTAACTGTATTACTAATAAATAAGTTCAAAATAATTTAAATGTCCTTATAATAGAGTCCAAAACAAGTTAAAAATCAAATAGGTGTAAAAAATAAAAATAAGATGAAAATATATAGGTGAGGTATAATTGAACTGAGTTTGAATCCCATAATTTATCTTGACCTTTTCGTGGTTCAGATCAAATCTTAGTAAAATATAAGTTATATTCAAATGTCCATGTTATATCCTTAATTTAGGACGTAATGTAATAACATCCTCTTTCTATCATCTCATTTCATTTTAGAACTTTAAAATGTAACATTTAAAATATAATAATTAGTTGGTTTCAACCAATGCATCTCATCTCTTTTCTTTTATAACAACTTAAATTCATAAGCCATAAAATTCCTAACGTGTGTGTATTTTTTCTTTCTTCCTATTTTTAATTAAGGTTTATTTATTTTGACAGTGAAAAAAAATTATTATACAAGATTGGTAGACAATGAATAGTATATGAACACGAAAATTTGACACGAGATATGGTTAACATTTGTCAAATTTTCTTTAATCAAACTATTTTGTGTTGATTTTGACTAGATCAATATAGGGCTAGTTTACTGGATTTGGTCAGGGAAGATGTAGGCCCTCAATAATATATGTAATGGTTTGGAAGAGTTTAATTGATTTGGTGGTTGTGATTATTTCAACAAATTAATTTACGTGCGTGGGCATGACTTGTTGATTTAAAAATATAAAATATTAGAATCACATGCATTTTTTTACCATTTTTTGGATGAATATAGATGATTGATTTAGGGGAGAATTATATTCAGGGTCCTTAAAGTTTATAACTTATTCACTTAAATTGTTTAATATTTAAAATATTACATACAAACTCTTTAAATTTGTACACGTGTAATGTCCATTAGCTAGCAAATTACACTCAGACTTTCTAAAATTTATAAGTGTATAACAAATAGATCTCTTAAGTTTAAATTATTACATTTAAACCCCTTATTAGTTACGACTAACGAAATATCTTAAATGATTAAATTACTCTAAGTAAAGATATAAGATATTGTGTCAATTATAATTTAACATCTTGTTTGATTTTTTAATTTTATTTTAATAGATAGTATAATTGTATACTAATTATAATTTTTTTAAAAAAATTATATTTTTATTTTTTAATTTTATTTTAATAAATGACATAATAGAAAATGAATTTTAGTTACAAATTTTAAAATATTTAATATTTTATCTTTGATTGAATTATTTTTTATCTAAATATAATATTTTAAACTTAAGGGATTTAAATATTATATATTTACAAATTTATAATTTATTAATGGATTTAGAAGGTTCGTATATTATATTTTAAATATCAGATGTTTAAGGATATCTTAAACTCTTACTCAAATTTAAATTTGAGTAAAAAAATCTAAAAAATTTGATCTAACTCTTACTCAAACTTATACCAAATCAAAAAAGGCTCTTTTTTTTTTACTCAAATTATGAGAGACTCAAATCCTTATCAAAATATTTAATATTGAGATTTTACCCTCTTTTAAAGATCTAATGATCGTCTTTACTCTTATTTAATTTTGAGTTTAACCTCATTTAAATTTGAGTTTATTAATCGGAGTCTTTTGTATCAAATTCATTTAATTTTGAGTTTAACATCATGTAAATTTAAGTATCTCTTTCTTTAAATTTGAGTTCATTCATCGGAGCCTTTTGTATCAGATTCATTTAATTTTGAGTTTAACCTCGTTTAAATTTAAATTTTTTTCTTCTTTAAATTCAAATTTAGGGTTAATTGCACTGAAGATCCCTAAAGTATGAAGTTTGTCTTATTTTGATCTCTAATGTTTCAATTACATTATTTTAGTCATTGAAGTATTGAATATGTTTCTATATAGTACCTCAAATAGACATTGTCCAGATTGTTAACGATTTTTTATCATAAACTTGTCAAATGATACTTAAACATGGACAAAAAAATAATTTGGATAACTCTTGACCAAATTTTTACTCAAATTTTGGTTAAATACGTACGTAAATTACACAGTTTTAATAATAAATTATTCAAATTTTGGTCAAAAGCTACCAATATTATACATTTTTTGGTTAAGAGTTACCCAAATTTTGTTTAAGAGATATCAAAATTATTTTTTGTCCATATTTAACTATTACATGACAAGTTTATGATAAAAAAATGTTAGCAATTTAGACGTTGTTCACTTGAAAGACCATATATAAACATATTCAATACTTAAAAGACTAAAATAATAGAATTAAAATATTAAATACCAAAATAAGATAAATTTTATATTTTATAGCCCTATAGTGCAATTAATCCTTAATTTATTCATCGGCTTTTAATATCCAATAAAACTTTTTATGCAAATAATAACATAAATTTGAATCACCGACCTCCAAGTAATTAAGTGGCGTGAGTGTTAACGAGGAGAAGTTTTAGCCAGACCGAAATTGCAGGTCTCCCTACTATCCTTGCCGCCAATTCGCTTCCCCGGCAAAGACTTGCCAGGGTTTCAGTGAACTGAAACCGCAAAAAATGTTGCTGCAGCTTCCCCGATTGACAAACTCTCTCAGAAAGCCATTCGACGCGGATGAAGCTTATCTCCAACGCAGAATCATCCTCCAAAACCTCAAATCTCGCAGGTATTTGCTCTATCTAAATTTTCATAATTATTTTGATTTTATTGATTTTTGTCCTTTCCTTTCCTTTTCTAATTATATTCTATTAAAAATTATAATTTTGTATATTTAGCTCTGCAAATTCACTCCAACAATCAGAACTTGCACGAAACATCGTCTACAGATGGGATGAAGGTATCAGAAAATTCTTTGACTGCATGTATACGTATATCAGATGTAATTACGTATCAAAATTTGTGTCACTAAATTATTTTGATGCGTTACTCTGTGTGTGGATTTATACAGCTTCTAGTGAAGTGAGGCAAGCGTACAAACAGTTTATTGCCGCGGTGGTGGAGTTGATTGATGGGGAGGTGGTGTCGGAGGAGTTCCAGGAGGTGGCATTGACTGTTTATCGACTGTTTGGGCAGCCTTTAGAGGAGGACGAAGACAATAGAAGGATTGAACAGAAGAAGTAAGTTCAACTTCACAATATGTTAACACATTATTATCTTCATCTGAAAAAATGGGATGATTTATGATTGTGCAAGTTTCAAATTTGAATTGTTCAATGCAGACTAGTGAATTTGTTTTGTTGTGTTCTACATGTAATCAAGCGAAGAGTGTGATGGTGACTTATGCATTAGAGTGTAGGGGTTGTCTTGTCGGTGTGTGCCCAATGCTTATTAGGGTGGGAGAAACTCCTAGATAAATATTATGTTATGATTATGTGGATGTTGGGATAGGAACACCTCACAGGAGTTTCATAATGACAAACTGTGGCCATGAATCTTATTTCTTTGGGTCAAGCAACTTAATTTTGATGGTTTTACATTATGTTTGCGAGTACTACACTGTATGGTGCTGCTTTGCTAATACAGTGTAAGAGATTTGACTTCTTTTTTGGAAATTATGGCTGTAAAATTCTGGTTGAAATGCAGGTTAGAATTGCAAAAACTACTTGGCCATGCTGTTTCAGATGCAAACCTGTGGAAAGTTGTCTCTTTGGTGCAGAGGCTTTCTGGCTTACAGCTTAATGACCATGGCACCAAGTTTGTGCCAGACACCGAAATAAATGGGAGTGCTGATGATGCAGAATTTGGTGCTGACCTTGTTTTCAGATCCCCAGCTCGGTTTCTGGTTGATATTACTCTAGAGGATGATGAATTTCTACTGGAGGAGCCCACTGCCCGTCCTTCTTCGCTTCACAAGGAATGTTTTTATCATGGTGACTCGACAAATTACCACCCTGCTATTGGTGGGGGAAACTTTGATTTAGGTTGGCTAAGAAATGTGTCTGATAAAATAGTCAAAGAAAGTACTTCGCAGCTTCCTCGTGATGAACTAGCGATGACCATTTGCCAAATACTTGATTCAGAGAAACCTGGTGATGAGGTACTAACATTGTATTTAATGGCGGATCATCTCCTTAATTCTACAGATATCGCTTTTGGGCATCTTACTTTTCCCTTGATGCATCTAAAATCTTGTGGGTTCCTAATTTGCATTATGCAGATTGCTGGTGATTTGTTGGATCTCGTTGGTGATAGTGCATTTGAAACAGTTCAAGACCTTATCACTGTAAGTTTATGAATTATTCTTAGTTACATTTGCAGATCTCGGGCTTACATCATAGGGTTTACTTTTTTTATTGATGTGTTTTGCTAATATTTGAGGGTACTTATTTTTTATGCCCAGTAGGATTTGACATAGTGTATTTGATCCTAGTTGTATTAGAACATCCTTTGGGTGGCAATATGTAGTTTGTTGTAAAAGACCAAGAAGTATGTAGTTTAGGTTACTCCGCAGAATTTGGTAAAAATGACATTTCCACAAATTCTTGATTCTGTTTCTATTCCCAATATGTTGAATTTCATCCTTAAATCTCATCTTTGTTTTCAGCACAGAAAGGAACTCCTTGATGCTATCCATCATGGAATGCTGGTATTGAAATCTGACAAAATGTCTACAAGCGTGCAATCACGCATGCCTAGTTATGGCACTCAGGTATTACATAAACTTCATACGCGTGACTTGAGAGAAGTTGGCTTCCATTTACTTATCAAGAAAAAAGAGTTCAGTATCCTAAATCAGTTGTTGTCAATCATTGCTGGACTACTAAAACATCTAGAAGTTACTTTCTACTGTTCCTATAGGTGACTGTTCAAACAGAGTCTGAACGGCAAATTGATAAACTTAGGCGCAAGGAGGAGAGGAGGCATAGACGGGGAACAGATCACGGGGTTGAGAACGAATTGTATGCCATGAGTTTCAGTTCTTTGCTTCAAGCGAGTGAGAATAAAAGCCCATTTGATGATTTAATTGGGCGTGGTGAAGGGCCACACAGTTTAGTAGCCACTGCCCTTCCTCAAGGAACTGTTAGGAAGCATTACAAGGGGTATGAAGAAGTCATAATCCCCCCAACACCTACTGCACCAATGAAACCTGGGGAAAAACTGGTATTTCTGTCTATTATGCAGGATTCATTACTGGAACTTATACCTTATGTTCCTATGCTTAATCATTGAGACGATTATTGATGCTGTTGCATAATGTTTGTTTTTGGTTTGAGCATATAATAATTATTACCACTATTTCTTTTCTCTTTTTACCTGTTTCCTTTTTTACAATGAAATGTTCTGGGATATGTTCTAAACATTATTCTAATTTTTGGGCGGCACCTATTTGTTCCCATCCTCCTTTTATAGGGTTGTGGCTCGCTATATGTTTTGCTCGTATATGACAAACACAGCTATTTCATGGATCATGACTCATGGATTTGGGCATATGATGAAACATTTATATGAGTGCTTCCTAAACTAGAAGATTATGATATGAAATCAATTCTCACATGTCCGGCATATTTTACGACACTAAACTGCATTGTTGGGAATCTCATTCTGATTCCAGGGATTACTACAAATTCTTTACAAAAATGCAGGTTTTCTGATAAATGCATGGCAGCGAGTTATTTTGATGGAGATGGACGGGATAAAGTTGTTACACTTATCCTTAGTAAAGATTGAAACTGTCAGAAACTACATGGCATTTGGGATGTTTGTCATTATAGTTGTAGGGATCACTTCTGAACCATTAGCTGATTTTGTTTGCAGGAACTTGTAGAAACATTTTATTCCAACTCATTATCTTTACCATCAGAAAGAAATGCTAAAGATTTACATGGGTTTTGCATTGTCAGACATCTAAAAGTTTTCCTATGGAGCTTTCTTTACAAGTTTTAAGAAAAATAGCATGTGTTATACTAATGCAATATTGCACCTAATCCATAACATTTTAAAGCTCTTATTTTCTTTTGTGATCAAGCTTTTTATGGTTGCTCACGTAATTAGGGTGTAAAAAATTCAGACTAAACAGTGTTTGATATCTACACAGATCGCCACAGAATATGGCAACACAATGGCTTTTTTATAAAACTGCCCTTATTGGTTGTAAAATTAACCTTTTTTTGTTGTTGTTATCCATTGTTAGATAGAAATAAAGGAGTTAGATGACTTTGCTGAAGCTGCATTCCGTGGTTATAAGTCGCTGAACCGTATTCAGAGCAGAATATTTCAAACTACCTATAACAGTAATGAGAACATACTAGTGAGTTACTAGTTTCTGCATTTTCGCCTTGTATTCAATGATGCAGTGGCAGTAGAATTTTAATATCTCTCAGGTATAGAAAGAAATAAAAAAGGTGTATTGCAATTTTTGTGCTGTTGCAGGTTTGTGCTCCAACAGGAGCTGGCAAAACTAATATAGCTATGATTGCAGTTCTACATGAGGTGTGTGACCAAGTGATTTGTGATTTGTATTTTTATGCTTTGTTGGAGATTCAATCCTTCCTGATGTACTTCATAACACTAGGATGGAAACATGTAATACACGCGGTTTAAAATAAATACATAAGTCCCTTAGCACCTTGCTCTGTCGTAAAGGTGAGCAGAACTTATAGTTAATGCTGAACACAAGGGTCATTGCTTGGTGTGATGAGAAAAGCTTTGGCTGACAAGCCTGGTAAAACAACTAATTTGGGCGTATAATGTTTGAGGCTAAGTTTGCAGCCTGTTCACACTTCCTAGTAACCTGTATTGGTGGGACTGACTGTGGTATTTGGCTTTTTGGGGCTGTAGACATGTCATCTTTTTGAGATGTGGATTGGCTTGTCTTTGTTGCTTCAATAACTAGCATTTGAACCATCATGTAGGGGTGTCAAATGGAACTTGGCTCGGGTCTATAAATCTGGTAATGAAGATGCTTATTTTTTTGGTTTCTTTTTATTTTATTATGTAAGTCAAATGGTTTCTCAAGTGTCAACCTCCCATCTCATACCCATTTTGATCTTGTGCTTATTAATAGGATTGCTTGTTTATTATGAAAGGGAAAAAAATAATTGGAGAACTTAGTATCATGTTTTGTGGCCTTACACACTTGTAGATTTTAAGTTTCACAACTTGTTCATGAACTCTACAATTTAATTTTTACCATAAGGAATTTTAAATCTCATTGAACATAGATCTCTTTTGGCCGGATACTTTCTGGAAGATTAAAAACTTTGCAGGGACTCCGTGAAGATGTAGTACATGGCATTGCTCCTTACATGAGTTTGGATGTTGCATTTTGTTGCTCTGGTATGCATTAGTTTGAATAAGTATTATGTTTTGTGCAGATTGGACAGCACTTCAAGAATGGTTACTTGCATAAAGATGAATTTAAGATAGTTTATGTTGCTCCTATGAAGGTAAAACAAATTTTTAACTTAATCTTTCTTTATCTTTTGACTCATTGCTAATTCTTGTCATTTCTTCTTTAGGCATTAGCTGCAGAGGTTACATCTACTTTTAGCCATCGGTTGGCTCCATTGAATATGAATGTGAAAGAACTTACGGGAGACATGCAACTTTCTAAACATGAGCTAGAAGAAACTCAGGTCATTTTCTATTTATATGACAGGTTTTTTTTTATCAGGACATGGGGATTAGAACTAGAGGTTTTGAGATTATCGTTTCTTTCATGTCGTTTAGATGATAGTGACAACACCCGAGAAATGGGATGTCATTACTCGTAAAAGCAGTGACATGTCGCTCTCAAAGCTGGTGAAGCTCCTAATCATTGATGAAGTACATCTTTTGAACGAGGATAGAGGCCCTGTTATAGAAGCGTTAGTAGCTCGGACTCTTCGTCAGGTATCCTTTATGTTAAGGCATCATATGTCTTACTTCAGTTAGTGTACATTCGAAGCATATGGGCCTGCTACTTGTATTTATTGAGGTTTAGTACACCACTTTATCCTTGTGCTTCTGATTTTGTATTATCAATCATCTTTTAAAGTTATAACATCTTGTTCATGTAACTTAAGTATCATATGTGAGCTTTCTTTCCTAATGCTCTTTTTCTTTTCTAGTGGATCAGTTCTTGACATATTTATTTTTCGTATACTTTTTCATCTTTAAGTCAAGGTTTGTTGTAATGCAAGATATGGTTTGCTCTTTTCCTTTTCTAGTAGATCAGTTCTTTACATATTTATTTTTCGTATCCTTTTTCATCTTTAAGTCAAGGTTTGTGACTTTGTTCTAATGCAAGGTATGGTTGGTAATAGTCTTTTCTTTGGCACTTTCAATCAGTAGCCTGAGCAAACAAATTGCTCTGTGTACCTGCTACTGTAAAGGTGCATATCCTCTACTCAAATCCTTAGTAAGATGACATTGAAATTTTGAGATATTATACTTGCACATTTGTTGACAGTGGAATATAAACTTATTTTTTGAATAGGATTGCCTAGTGCCATGAGACTTGCTTGAGGATTAGTTTAGTGTCTCTTGCAAGTGAGCTAGTGCTGTGTGTAGTAAGTTGGCAGGGCCAGCAGGGGTTCTAACACTCAGTTTCATGCAAACCAATGATCAAAATTTCGTTTCGGTGAATTGTTTTGGTCACATAGGAAACGGAAACATTTTAATATGTTTCGGAAACAAAATGAAAAAAATAAAAAATTTAAGAATTATTTTTCCAAAATATTGTTTGAAATATACTGAAGTATCTTGAAATACGTTGAAACATTCCAAAACAATTGTGCATATGCATTGAAACCTTACAAAACACCTTGAAACTTTATGAAACACCTTGAAGTATTAGAATTTCGATTCTATCACTGATTTGTTTCAGTCTCATTGGAAACGAAAACGTTTCGGATGTTTCGAAACGAAATTTTAATCCTTGACGCAAACATACACGAGACGCTCACAAAAATAATATATCGAACAGGTAATAAGCAAGAATCAATCACCCAATAGGTATACGAGATTACAAGCCAAAACGACCCAACTTTTTACTTCTCAACAAACACCAAGGATTCCGGCTAAGGGTATGCAACGTCTGCATACAAAACGTGCCCAATCTCTCTTGGGTTATTGCAGACCTTAGCATGTGTATATAAAGCTGTACATGTCAGTTACAACTTACAACCGAACTGTAATGTTGGCACCAACCAGCTTTGGCCAACTTAGCTGTGTAGTTGACATCCACTAGCTGCTAGGATTATTGACACCAATTAGTTTCGCCCTCAAGGATGTGGATGATTTTGCCACACCCCCACAATGTTGTTGTACATGGCTGGAGCAGTTGTGCTTTCGTAACCGTCGCATGACCCAACCATCAACTGGTTAGAACCACCACACATGATGTGCATATGCCATCCTTGTTTGCCCACAATACTTGACTTCCTTGGCCAACATGCCAAGCCATGTCCAGCCCATGACTTGATCTTCCAAGCATGCAATGCACCTTAATTGCAGCCCACACGACTAAGCCTTGCTTGTTTGCTTGTGCCCATGCATGTGTTGCATCCCTCAGCCATGCATGGTGCTTCAGCCATGCATGGTGCTTCCAAAGGATCAAAATATTGTTTCGAAACGGTTGAAACATCCGAAACGTTTCCGTTTCTAAAGAGACCGAAACAAATCAGTGATGAAATCAAAATTTTAATATTTCAAGGTGTTCTATAATGTTTCGAAATATTTTGTTGTATTTCAACGCATTTGCACAATTATTTCGGAATGTTTCAAGGTATTTCTAGATATTTTGGTATATTTCGAACAATGTTTTGAAAAAATAATTCTTAATTTTTTTATTATGTTTTCAAAACGGGTCGAAACATTTCCGAAATATATCGAAATGTTTTCTTTTCCTAGGTGACCAAAACAATACATCAAAACGAAATTTTGATCATTACTTCCACTAACTATGGATCCCACCGATTGTCGACCACTTATTTCTTAGGTCTTGGACTTTGCATTCCTTTCCTACACCCATGACAAGCATTTTTGGGCTGTGCCTTGTTTTGGCGTGCCAAGGCTAGGGGACATAAGGGTTGCTGGCCACACACCCCTTCGTGGAGCCATCCCCCTCCCGTCTGTTATAATAACGTTAGGAACAATTTCTGTAGTGACAACAATAGACATAATCTAAATTGAGTCATAATGACGAGAGCCTAGGGTATAGTGCCTGCATACCACATAGAACTTTTGTCAAACACCTTAGCTACCAAAACAAGAATACAACCAAGTCCGTAGGAAGCCATCTTGCACAACAGGTGTGCGAAGCCAAGCATACCCCCACCTTTGGCTAAGGCATGGGGCACCATTGGGCGAGGCACTCGAATGCCACAGCCATGCCAACAAGCTAAGGGGCTAACAAATGGTATGGTGATGGAAAATAACAGTTTTATGTCTCTTTGAAGTGAGCTAGTATTATGTGTAGTAAGTTGGCAGGATTAGCAAGGCTTGGCACCATGGCTGGTATGGCAAAGGAAAGAACAGAAACAATTTTTGAAAGAGTGATATTTTTTTAGCAGCTTTGTATGTGGAAACTTGGGACATTTATGATTGATGGGATGGACGTAGTATGATGATTCAAAATAGAGTAAACATGGTTGGGGCTCTTATTACAAAGAGAGCTAGCATCTTTAATCATGAATTGACTTGTAGTAGTCTAGAGTACCTTATTCATATAGAGGTTGGCACTATTCTTGCCTTCATAATGGGATTGGCGTATTAGACCAAGGTTAGAAGGTTTGTAATGAAGTTCTATTGATGAGAGGAAATCTAGATGGTTGGAAATAACTTTTGAGGAAAATGAGGTGAGACATGCTATAGGAATACGAGTTGTCCTCTATATATAAGAATAGGAATAAGAGCTTAATTGGCGGGCAAGTAATCTTATCCGCAATGTAGCATTTGAGCCCTGTGGAGAGCGTTGGACACTAGAACAAAAACTGCCAGCCATGTCTTGGGCAGCGGTCGAACGTTAGAGTGAGCGATGACTACAGTAATTTGTTTTTCATGTCCAATCCGATTTCCTAAGTCCTGAGGGAGTTATACACTTTTTTTTGGGAAACCAAAGCTTTAAATCAACTCTTTGAGTATCAAGGGATGGTAACTACAAGCCATCATAGCCAGACTTATTTTATAACTCTTTTTCAAAAACTAAAACCCTATAGTTTCAAAAAAGTTTTCACACCAAAAAGGCATGAGTCATGAACGGATCAAGTATTCACACTCTAAATCTAGTTAAACAACCTAAATTATGCCAAACTAGGGCAGCTAGGTATCTATGTCATCTTACCTCACCTAAGCTTGATAGGATTCAAAAAGTTTTTTTCATATTGATTTGTAGCTTGAGCTTCTTCACCATATCTTAATTTGGTCTTCAATCTGCAATAACCTCTTGACCATGAATTTAGTTGAAATTCAAGATTACCCATTGACCTATGAAATTCACCAATTACAATAAATTTCCTAACAATTTTTAAGTGCAGACATGAGAGGAACCTCATATGGGCAAGATGAGACAGCTAACATAAAGAAAGGTCACCTAATGTGCACGAGGGTATGAGGAAAGATTTAAGGTGGAGGTTGGGAGGTGGGTGTGTTAAAATTTCTTGTTGCAGATTGTTTTGATTATTCGTTATTGTTTAGTGCGCTAATTACTTGCCATTTGAAGTGGCATATAAGTGAAGGTAACCATGGTCAAGAGGAATGGTGCTAGGGGTCAAAGATTAGAAAGGTAAAACATCTGGTAACCATGGTCATGACGTTTGTCGGCATCAGTACTTTGCGACCAGCACCATCATTGGGCATATGGTAGTGGTGATGAGAATTTGTTAAAGGTGTGATGGTGGTAATCCATGTGGATTGATGTGGTGGAGATGACTTTTGAGGTTGGCTGGTGGTTGGTTGTGAAGCTTGTTATGAATTGGAGACTTTAAAGTCCCTGCTTCAAAGAAACAATTCTTTGCTCTTTTTCATATCTGGACCAGAAAGCCATTGTTATGCAACATTGTTGCAATGTAAATTAAAGAGTGGTCTTTTTGAAAGGTACTTGTAACAAAACAACAGTTTGTTCCAAAATTGAATGTGATAATCGAAGTACATATTTATAAGGCAAAGAACTGGTAGAATCAAGATTTATCCTGCTCACTATCTTCTTTGACTTGCATAATGGGTAAGTAATACAACTATTATTTTCAAGATGTTTTGGATCGCTCGATTCTTATTAACAAAAGAGACTTTACTGAATTGTGCATAAAAGTTTCCTGTTAAGATTTATTCACATGATTTTGCGGAAGCAATGGAGCTTTGAAAATAAGTTCTACTACAATTTTTTAAGACCTAAAACGTGCAATCATATCAAATAGGATAATTGATTTGTTTTTTCATAGAATTATAACATGTACCATCAATTTCCTATTGAGAATGTTCTTTTATAAATCAATCAAATCGAGACATTTTTTATGCACAACCAATGATTTGATGAATTAGTCAGGCTTAGTTGTAGAATTGGATGTTTGGACTTTGGAGTATATAACTTGATCCAACTCAAGCATGTGGATGAAAGTGGCTCTGTTGCCTGCATTGCATCCCATAATATGCAAGTTGTTTATATTTTCTCAGGTAGAGTCCACGCAGACCATGATACGCATTGTGGGCCTTTCAGCCACTCTACCCAACTATTTGGAGGTTGGTCTTTTGAGCTATTTTATTTTATGGTTTGGAAGTTTCTTGGCCATGCACTTATTGTATGCTACATTTCTGTTCATCAACCTCTTTTATCCATATATCAAGATTGCTAGTCTTTTGATTGGTTGTTCCCTTTATAAACATCTAGGTTGCACAATTTTTGAGGGTGAATCCAGATAGGGGTCTCTTCTTCTTCGATTCTAGTTATCGTCCAG